CAGGTATGCACAAGCATCAGCAGGTGTTTTTGGTAGAAAAGCCTCATGCTGGGTGTGATCTTTATCACTGGTGAATGTCACTCAGTGGGCTGCTGGTCATTAATAGATCAGAACTGCATTACCTTTATTCATGTTATAACTCTGTGGTGAATGAGCTGGAGTAATTCACCACTGCTTTTGGATGCTTGCAGAGGTCCACCAGGTTTGTTTTCTTTTATATCCAGAAAGTTTAAATTTGGCAGTGCTTGCATGAATGGAAAATTACCGATAAAATTGTGAAAATATCTCCATGAGACTGCAGCTCTTATGTAGATTCCTGAATTTCAAGACAGGACCAGATCTCAACAGTGATCTCTTAGCCATTTCTGCCAACCATTCTCTCATGAAGCTTATAGATCTGAATTCAACCAAGGCTTATTTTTTCAGAAAGACACTTTTGCTATTAAGTCTTCAAGTGACAGAGAATGTATTATGTCAAACAGACTATTTTAGTGCTAATTTACCTACCAAGGAAGAATGCACATTACTTTTACCCTGATTTTGTCTGCTCCAGCCATTGGACTTTTTCATATCCCTGTCTAAAAGCTTGAAGTAGATGTGATGATTTATAAGATGGGAAGTATTTTTGGCATGGATGAGCTAATAGACTCTGATCAAGTCAAGCATTCAAATTACTTTGGATAAGTTTGAATCTATACAGTCTTTCAGGAAAAGACAAGTTTGCCAGACAGAGACCCATTCCTCTAACCCTTTTCTGAACTATTCCCAGTTTCTGAACATCCCTTTTATGCAAGTTGGCTGGAGAGCTCAAGCTCAGAAATGCAGCTTGTCTTATGCTCTTTTAGTACCCAGGGTAATTTACCCTATGATCCTAAGATACCCAGAGTAAAAAATAATTTTCCTTTTAAAAATGATGAGATTTATAAACCTTACAGAGCTCTCTTTCGGGATAGTAATTCTCATCATTTCAGCTGTCACACCAGATTTACTGCAGTCACTTTTTTCTGTAAAAATTATGAAGGAAAGCAATGTCTGCAATTGTTAACATCATTCTGGATATGAAACATCTCGTGTTTCCTAGCAGACTCTAAACAAGAGAGGAGAAAACCTTTGGCAACCCTGAAAACCACGAGCAGAAAGTCGCTTTTCCTGTGTCCCAACATGGAACATTTGAGTGTAAGGGCCAGAACTGCAAGGCCTGCCTGGCAAAATGCAGATGAAAGAAGGAACGTTTTTAACCCCTTCTTGGATGGACCAGGGTTTCTGCTTCTGAAAATGGCATAAGAAGTCCTACAACAGCCATGTCTGTCATCTTATTTGCTCTACCACAACCTGGTAGACATTAGGCATTGGCCTGTTGATGTTAGCTCTGATCATGTTTGAAGACTTATTTATTTTTAGCATTCACAGTAGCTCCATTATTGTACATCTTTATTAAAATTTATATTTTATAGAAACTTTTTCACATTTGTTCTCTATGGAGAAAGATTTTTTTCTGTCTGCTTGGAGTAAGGGAGCTTTCCAGCCACAGACCTCAGAAGACTGAGGAAAGAGGAGTTGGTGCAAATGTCTTGGGGGGTTTTAATCCAACCTGAACTGCAGGTCTCTGTGGGTAAGGAATATTCCTTGTTGAATGGACTATACATAGCAAGGAGGTCTAGTGATATGAGAGTAAAAGCAAAGCCCTCTGCTCCTGTCAGATTTCAGTACACCAAACTTTAGGTCTGGTTAAAGATAATTTTTATAATTTAGTAATTTATCCTCCATGGTTTCTAGTCCTGCTCCCAACTTTGTTTTCCCTTTGCCAGGTGAATATTCTCTAATATAACAAAACCAAAAATAGAGAGTCATCTTAAAAAAAAAAAAAAAAAAGGATACCCCAGTGGAAAAATGGTTCTGCTGGAAATGTTCCATGCTTGTAAGCAAATGTGCAGATTTCTGCTAGAAGAGGGTAATTGTACAAATGCCTCTAATAAGCTGTAGAGTTTGTTTCATTGAGTAGAGATCTGAAAGCTGAAACAAATGAGTCTTTCTTCCAGAAAATATGAGTTTGTGACATTCAAAGCTATTCAAAGCTGGAAAATACTGTCCCTAGATTATAAACAGGGAAATGAAGTGCAGAGATGATTATGTGATTTGCCAAAGATTTCAGAGACTTGTGGAAGAGAGCTTAAGTGTGACAGCACTTCCTAGGAGAAATAATACCTCTAATGTATGTAAGGGTAGTTTAGCTCCTCAATGCCTATGAGTCCTGCACTTCTGCACTTAGTAGCTATGAAAAACATCCAATCAAAATGTCAGCATCTTGTATGTGTTCATTTTTCATAGGTGCAAATGAAAACACCAGATGGAAACCAACATTTTGCTGACCATGGATAGGGTCATTTTAATGACCGTATCAAGCATTCTTTTCCTAGGAGGACATAGATGTACCACTACTTCTCTTAACAGAAAGGGTCACTGAAAGAGTTCAAATGATGGTGCATTTCTAACCACTCTGAGAGAGCTGGCTGCACTAAAATGCTTCCTGGTTTATGTTACCACAAAAATTGTAAAAACAGTTTTACAAGCTGTTGTGCTTTAGTGCAAAGCAAACACATTAAAAACACTTAATGACCATTGCTTTGTGCATCTTCCTGTTAATTTATATAATTTAGTCCTATAAAAGAATCAAGAGTTGTTTGTTTGAGCAGCTTAAGATGTTTATTAATAGTTATTGGTCGTGCTGTACTTGCAACGTGAGCCTAGACAGGAACGCAGAGCTGTAACAGTGCTGTGCTAGCAAGAGAAGTTAACTTTGCATTTGCATAAGCATGTAGGAAATAAACCAGTTATGATACAGCGGAATGCAGTTAGGTTTTTTTCTATGGGATTATAAACTGGAATTTCATATTCTGATGGTCTGCATCCTCAGACCCTGAGCCTAAGGGACCTCACACCTCTATGGTGCCTTCTAAAGCTGCCACAGAAGCCCTCCACATAGCCCACAGGCTATGGAGAGATGCCTCTGCTACTGCAAAAGCAGCAATGCCACAAGTTGGGAAGCACTGTATCCCCCCCTCCGAGATTCAAAAGCATGTGGCAGTGACAGACCCATCACACAGCAACCCCACAGCAATCAGCACCCCATCACTCCACAATCATGTGCTCCACACACACCCAGCAGGCTTCCATCCAGAGCCAATCAAGTGATTGGGGCATGAAAGGGAGTGTGATTGGGGCATGATTGGGCCATAATGGGTGTGATATTGGGGTGTTATTGGGGTGTGATGGGTGCGCAACTGCCACGTGATTTTTGCACGATGGGCATGTGATTGCCATGTGATGAGCACATGATGAGCAAGTGATTGGAATGTGACTTGGGCATGATAACTACACGGTGGGCATGCAAAGGGCATGTGATTGTTGTGTGATTGCTCTGTGACTGGCCCATGATGGGTGCATGGTAGCCACTGGTTCCAATTACAGTTCAAGTCCAGCTGTAAAATTCTATTGGCACCCACATCTTAGGCACAGCTTTCCTGCCTCCCTTCCTGTATCACCAGGTTAATTTGCAGTATATGCAACTGATTTGGCAGATATATGGGTTCCAGAATAACTTGGCATCAGCTACACATATTTCTGGCAATTTTTCAAACTTTTCCATTAGTGTGGATCTCAAAGCTGGTCTCGCTTCATTTGTAAATGCAGTTACTTGCCCAAGTCATGCATGGTGCCCTGTAATAAAGTTATTTCTCCAATAAACTCAGACCTGTTGGAAGACTTTGTGCTGGAACTAATTATGCTTCCTGACATCCACTGAGGAGTGACTCCCAATTTGCATACACTCGCCTTGTATCATAATTCCTGACCTGTCATTGGAACTTGTTCTGTGTATTCTGTACAGTAATGTGGTTTTTCATAATTCATGTAAATTATGAGTTTTGTCATCTGTAGTTTCTTTGTCAGAATATTTCTCTGCTTTTTTTTCATATCTCGTATATGAATGAAATCCAAAGACTCAATAAATGAGGCTTTATGAAGAATGCTGAAAATTTTCTACCATGGGGGTTTAAAAATACACTAAAAAGACACTGTATTTCATGTTTTGAAGTTCCGCTCTAATGGAGAAGAAAGACGATAAAATAGGAGAGGAAGAAAATGGTTGGTGGCAGGAGAAATGTGAAGACATGGTATGAAGGATACTGGGGCACCACTTTCTTTTCTCTCAGCTCCTGCACAGTGCCTATACCCAGTTCTACACATTATAGAGTTACTTTTGGTATGTTAGTGAAGAAAAAAGAAAAAGTGGTGCATAAATTTTAGGCTGTCTTTTTGCAGAGTGCCAATTTCACCACTGTTCTTCTCTTTTTCTTTTATTCTTCTCAGCATCAATCATGTCAGCCAGTATTTACTTTGATAATTCTGCTTTCTTCTGTTATGAGTGACTGGGCTGGGTCCAGTTATGTTGGAATATCTTGTAGAAGCAGGATATGTGAAACTAAGTTTAATCATGACACAATACTTTCTGGTAGCCTAGATTTACTAGGAAAAAACACTGTCCCTACAGTGAGGTTAAATAGGTCTGTAGGTGATATTGCTGGAGCAAAACACTCCCTCTAATTCACTTGCAAGTGCAGCTTGTGATAGGAATGTGATGTGCCAGCTGGATAGAATCCTGCTAGGAATGACTATAAACCCTTTTATTAAACATGATTCAGCTTGTCTTTACTTCCCTCTCCCCTCCACTAGTTTTCTGAATTGCAGTTTCTATCTTCTTTTTTATACAGTAGGAAAAGTAACCCAGATGAAAGCTTTTATTCTTTGCCTTATGAACTTCTTTTCTTAGATCTCCTAAAGGGAAATTGTTCCTGGAAAGTTTGGACAGTTGTTTTGTTTCCCTTAATACTTGCAAACACTAAAACACCGCAGTAAAAGAGAGGTTTGTATTGCCATATACTGTTTGGTGATTTTTTTTCCCCGTTTATGACTTTTCCCTGTCTCTTTCTCCTGTCTTCTAGTGCACAGCTTGTAGAAATACATCACATTTCTGTGGTGCAGCAGAGTGGGAGGCAGAAAATATGAATCTTATTAGCAGTTTGGCCAATGTCTTCCTACGTGAACATGGGTAAGTTATTTATTTCTGCACTGATAATACAGTGATGTTAATCACCTATTTCATGGGGCAAAGGTGGCTGGTCTGTAGCATTCTTGAACTGTTTAAGCAGTTAAGATGGGACTCCCAAAGTACATAAAGTATGACTGTCATGTGTTTGGCTAGCATGGAGATTTCTGGGCAACCTGAAGCTCCTCTGTGGGGCAGAGCAAGTGGCTACAGCTGCTAATGCTCATACCACCCAGATGCCCTGGTATTTTCTGGGAGGCAGCCCAGACCTGCTCTTCAACAGGTACTCAAGTGAGTCATTCTCACGTTCCACCCTGTTAAGATTTTGGTATGAAACATGTAGGATTAGCAAAGTTGGCTATCTCTATTATGTGAAAATAAACAGAAAGGAAAATACGCTGAGCTCGGGTGAGAAAAATTATCAGAGCAAAGAGGGGTGGGAGAGAGCAGGTGCTCCACTCCCTCCCACCAGGTGCAAGTTTATACCTGTATGCCTGTTTAAGCCACACTTTAAAAAGTGCCAGCGATGCGCCAAGCTGGTACCAAATTGCAAATATTAGAATTGATTCATATTATAATGTACCTTTCAGCCACCCTCTTGTTCCCCATATTAAATAAACTGCATGGGTTAAAGAGTGTATTCCTCCCCACAGGTGTCAAAATCTTTGGCTCACTCTGCTCAGTTCCCCTGATCCTATAAATTACACATACTGTGTTAATTTTGGCCTCCTACTGCCTTATTTTCCTACTTGTTGCACAGCTTTACAATGTCAGAAGGGACATATTTTTCCTCCCCTTCCTTCTTGTCTTTCTAGTTGTGCATTTTATTTAACTGGGACTGTAAAATGACAGCATTAGTGGCCAGTCTGGCATGAGCTTCATGTTTTATTTGATAGAAGGCACTACTTACAGTGTAGTGTAAGTTTAGTAAAAAGACATGCTAACCTACTCCTTTGAGTGCAATTCTTCTTTGCAGTGTGTGTAACAAAAAGGTGCACACTTGGAACTGACAGGGGTTAAGAATAGATCTGGCAAAAGTTATTCTTCTCTAGAAAATGAACAGAGAGAGTGAGCAATCTCCAGGCTCACAGGCAGCAGCTGAGCATCACGCTCAGATTCACAGACTGTGCAAAGCCTATGAGACAACCTAGGAATAAGGAAGAGGAGGGAAAGCTTCCTCTTGGTAATCAAGCTATTTCCCAGTTTATTCTGGTTGGGATCACCATCCAGCAAAGTCTCCTGCATGCGGTTTATACACTTACATAGTTCCATTGAGGCAGGTGTGATTTCAGGGTGCTGCCCAATTTATCTTATTTAAAATTCTGTCTGAAGATTCATTGACTTCCAGGACTGGGTCTTTACTGACAATCTTTGGATCATTTAATAAAAATGCATCTTTTCAAAGCAATCGAGATACCAGGTGGAACTCGTAATATGAAATATGGGCCTGTTTTTCCCCAAATTATTTAATATTGAAGATTCTCAATAGTTTTATTACAGTTTCTTGCTGCTAAGCCTTCCTTGCAAACTACAGTGAAGATTAAAGTTTTTTGAAGGTGTATGAACAAGTTCAAAGGTCTTAAAATTGCATTAGTTGGTAGGGTGTAGCTGGTTTACCACAGTTACCAAAACAGTACTTCACTTCCACGCAAACACAACATACAATTAAATGCATTCATCTTGTTCATCAGACTGGAATTGAATCAGCTTACACAGTTTAGCTGTGCTTGATATATGCACATAACATGAAATGGTCTGAAAAAAATCCTGCCAGGACTTTTTTTTTTGGTCTTCTCTCCCCCAGTTTACCAGGAACTGAAACTATAGGGGAGTAATTTAATAAGAATATGGGGGTAAGTAATGGGAATTTAAAGGAAAAGTTATAGTAATTAAGATGTTTTGCTTCTGCTGAAAATCACCTTAACTCCTCATGCAAGATTTCAGCTTTTGCAGGTAGCTTTGTAGGTCTTCATAGTCAGAAACCTGATATTGTCTGTGGCCTTCATGGACAAGAGAGGCAGTATGACATGCTCGCATTCTATCGATTTTCCAGATCTGAGAATGCTAATATTTTTCATATGCAATCATATTGGTGTTTACATTATTTTGGGATTGGAAGTATGTTTTGATGCTTTATGAAGTCTGACATTGCTTGAAAAAACAAATTCTTAATAATTGATTAAAAAGCATAGCTGTACCACTTAATCTGTCTGTGCAAGAGGCATTTTTCCTCTGGGACAGGACTAACCCAGCATTTAGTTAATCAAGTTTTAAAAGCTGTGAATTTAAGCTCTTTGGGATATATACATTACCAATTGCAGGAAGTTGGGAAATAAAAGGAACTTTTCAAATAAAAAGATGTCAATTTAATAGCAAAGGAGCTGAAAACAGATGTTTCACGCAAAGCATAAGAGTTGTGTCATTCCTTTAGGTTTTCAAAGTCACTTCTTGTCAGATGCATTGGTTAAGAGAGAAAATTAATGAGCTGTGTTAAGTTTTATTACACAATCTTCTGATGTGGGAAAGCTTCCCTGCAGGAACAGCTCTGTGCATGGCTTAACTGATTTAGACATGCCTGGTGCAGTATTCTCCAGAATGTGTTGGAGATCAAAGTAGGGAGAGTTATTCAGGTTTTATGGCAAGGTAATTAAAAAAATATGGGGATTATTACATAGAAATCATACTTGCATAAATTTGCTGGTAAAATAAAATCAAATAAACACATTTAAAAAATGAGATCAGGAAAATCAGCCACATTTTTTTACCATTAGAGATGCAAATCTGCACCCTGAAGTCTACACAGTTGGCTTCTTTCTTCCACTGCAGAGAGTTTGGCCCAGTTCCATTTTAGTGGTGTTTTCATTTACTTAAAAAAAAAAAAAAGCATACTAAGCATACCGAGCTCTCCTGTTTTGTGACAGTGTGAAGATGGGCACTTTATACCAGGCACAAAGTGGTCCCAGGTAGAGCAGTCACAAGACTTCCCCTGGTTTCTGAGGTGATTTCATCTGAAAATCCCTTTTCATAGAAGAATCTTGTGTCTGAACATTTGTTAATATCTGTTACAGTACAGACTGTGAGTGAAGAGAAGGTTTGGACCAATAACTTCTGGATAAAGGGTAAAAAAATCCCTAGAAAACTGCAAAGACTTTCTCGGGTACTTCTACAGGATTTCTGAGGGGAGTGCATACAAGCTCAAGAGAGACTGTGTTTATCCTTTCTGGCCATGTACAGGAGAAGTGGATGCATGCACTATACTCCAAATAGGGGCTCAGAAATTCCAATCTAGAAAGAGGGAGAGATGATATGTTCTAAATGTTGAAGTGCTGATTGTGAAATGCAGAAAACATTTCTCTCTGGCTGGGAGAGAAATGAAGTAGATGATTGTGAAACTTCTGTTTAATCAGAGAGCTTCCACATTCCTGTCACATAAATATGCAGAAAGGATAAAGCTTATAGCTTCAGCTGTCCTGAATGCAGTGATACCATATGATGACAGAACACACATGCATATGCCTCTATAAACATATACACAGTTGAAGTCGAAACATATAATACTGTCAGGACTGAGCTTTCTCTCTCTGAGGGTGTGCATATGACTTCTTTGGTCTAATTGGGTTTAAGACTCTATGTGTGTGCGTATATGCAAGAGATGTAAAATAGAAGTATAGTAGCTTTTGATGTGAAATAAAATTTTCTTGTACCAGCTACAGGTTCCTGAGAGACTACATGTGAGGATCACACTGAAACCTATGCAGTTGAAGCACTGGCAACAGAATAACACACTTGGCTGTCATTTTTCCAGTCTTCTCTGCTGCAGTCTTAAATTTCATGAAAGAGGAGCTATTGACTAGTAACTCCACAAAGATGAAATGGTTTAATTTGGACAAGGAAAACCTATATGAAGTTTCAGGTAAAAATTCCCCCATGCTTTGCTCTTCTGGGTGATGAAAGAATTTCCTGAAGGAACTAAAGAAACCACCCAACAATGTCAAATTGTCTGAAGGTACTTGATTGTGAAATGCTGGACATCTTAAGCTTGTCCCAGTGTTTGGCATGGTGGGTCTCTTCCACTTCTAACCTCTTTCAAAGAATCAATACATACTGCATCTAATAATGATAATGAGTATGTATTAAAGAGCTGGAAGCTTATGGGCAGATCTGAAAATATTGCAGAACTTAGTTGATCTTCATGCTCCCTGGGTATGCATGGCTGTTAATCACATGTGTGCAATCTTGAAGACAAGGACCAGAAAACTCATTGAGATTTTGAAACGACAATAATATAAAGCCAGTTGCAAGATTTAATATAAAAATCTGAGCAGTAAAGAATTCTGTGATGTATCTGGTTCTTGTTTGATGTACTTCTACTGACACAGTTAATATAGTGTTTGCAGTGCACACATAAAGCAGATATGCCCAGATTCCTCTCTAAAGAGTTAAATTATTTTATAGTCATGCATGCTATCTTTCCTGTTACTTTGCCCCCACAATTTCTATAGGCTGTATTTATTTTACGTAAGTTGTTCTTAACAGCTTTCAACATAATTTGTTTTAATATAATGGTAGAGATCGATGGTTATAAAGAAGGCTATAAAGATTCTTCTAGGAAATTTCTGTGTATGAGGGAAGTCCTTCTTTTTGGGGATTACCAAACTTTGAGAAAAATAATCCTCAAATGAGGTATTCAGACACATACTTTCTATTCTCAGGTGTTAATGACTGTGTATTGCACTACAAGAGAATAAAAATCACCCTCCTATACATCAGTCAAAGTTTTCAAAATATTTCAGCCTCCCCCCACGGAGAATTGAAGTAGTATCTAAGTCTTTCTAAAGGCTGGTGCCAGCCCTTCAGACATAAGGTTTAATTTTAGCCTTACTTATTTTGTATGCTTGAAAATATCAGTCAGCTGAAGATTTTCATGCCTTTTCTACAGACATGCTCCACGCAGGTGTGAATGTTTTCTGCAAGATCTGCAGAAAGACAGGGACATACAAAGCCTATTGTACAGGCTGTCATGTCCGGCCAAGGTCAGTCTGACTCGAGTGTTCAGGATGCTTAGAACAATAGCCTCATTATTATCTGAGTCATCACAGTGACTGCAAGCCTTAGGAAAAACTTAGCTGAGAAGTTAATTTGTGTTTGGGTTGGTTGGTACATATATGCTCTCCACTTGCATCTTCAAGTGGTTTGTTTCATAAGTAATGTGTTGATACCGGGTCCCAGAGCTGCTGCTGCTGCTGCTGGTTGTTTCTCCCCTTCATGGTTCCCTTGCTGCCTTCCTGATCCACTGTGGGAAAAAGGCAGTATGTTGAGAACATCCTCCATCAAACCCTCTGCTCTACTGGAGGGACTGAGGAGAGACTGGGGAGAATATGGACTGGCAAACTCTTGACTGTGTCTCTGTTTCTCCAGGGCTTCTGGGGAGGAAGATGCTGAGTCTCAGCACAGAGTACAAATTCCTTGCCTCTCTGTGCTGCTCTGTGCTTGCTTTTCCAGGCAAAGTAAAACACTCTAGAACTATGCAGCAATCCCTTATGGTCAGCATGCCATCTGCTGCTCTCCTTCAGCAGGGAGCTCTGGGGACTACAGGCCAGGAGCCAGTGGTGGCCTTGGCATTAGGCCCTTGAGATGCCTGCATGCTGGTGGAGTCCTAGCAGACCTTTCTTCCCCAAATCAACATGAACCCTCACTGCAGCTGTGTTAAGGTCAATGACTGGACAAGGCTGACTCTAAGCAGCTGGCTACTCAACATCATTATTTCTCCCTTTGTAAAATGGCATCATCCTTTGCAAATTCCTTGAAATTCTTATCTAGAAGTTGCCTTAAAAATTGGAACATTATTACTATACTAGGTTACTGTGGAACTAGAAAAAAATTTACCCTGAACTTTTTCTCATATGTGTTTATGACTAGAAGGCAGACAGAAGGGGCCTGTATCTAGACAGACTCATAAGAGTGTTTCTCAAAGCAAAAATCATTCCAGAGGCTCACTAGTTCTATCTTCCCTATTTGGAAGAGACTCTGTTATAAGCCAAATTACAGCAATTAGGCCATTTATGGCTAGAATTTTTTATTTGCTCGCTAACATCAGTGTCAGCAGGAGAACGATCACTGGAGGTGATGCTCTCAAATGTGTAACAGTAACAGTGATGAAAGATTTTAAAGGGGAAACAGGACCCTATATAACCTGCTTATTCTGATTCTAAAAGGATCAAATAAAGTCTGAAACTGTCTCTGAACTGTTGGGATGATTTTGTGACAAGATACATGGCTTGGGCAATCTGACTATGGGCCGACTGTGTCTCATATCTCCTTGAAGGGATATTTGCTCTTTGTCAGTTTTTCCTTTGGGATTGCACCATCTTTTGTGTTCAGCTATCTACATGGATGAGATTTTAATAGGTTCTTATATGAAGCAGTGCAATTTAATGATTTTGCCTAACTAGAGGTATATCAGTTTATTTCAAGCAAGGGCATGCCTTTCTGACAAAGATCTCTCTAATCCATTGAATATGTTGTGTTAATGCTTGTTGATTTTTTGATGAGTGTAATGATTTGGTAATTATCTTTAAATGCTTTCTCTTCTGAGTGTGCAGCATTTAAGGTACGGTTTTATTGATTAAATGATGGCATATACTTATGTTACAGCAGTGCATTCCTGTACGAGGATATCTTCCTGTAAATCTTCTTCATTTATAAATTAGATGCACCATGTATTCAAGCATGGCATCAGTTAAGCTGTCATGCACTGAGAACTTTGCTGACCCAGTCCTGATACAAGTGTCCAAACAGGTATGTAAAACTGTGCATTGAGATGTTCAATACAAATTCACTTAAATCAGCAAAGCTGCTGTAAGAGTAGGAAATATTTTTTCAATTTTTTAGTAAATATTGTTGAAAGTGAGTGATTTTGAATGGAATTTTTGTTGTTATCAGGGCTGATATTGTAGAAATAACTCAAATTTCTGATGTGAACAGTGAGTCTGCTTCCCTTCACGTCGTGGTGTGCTCAAGGGTTAGGACGTCAACCCACCACACTTAAATGAGTAACCTTCATTCAATTATCACATAATCACATAACCATTTACCTTTCATATATACATTTGCAAAACTAATGCAATGCGAGTGCAAAGATGAGGTCCAACACAACAAGGAGTGAAACAACACACTGAAAGTCGAAAAGCAGCCACAAGATGTGCTTTCAGAACATGAACCTTCTCAGTCAGGAGGAATTTCAGTTCTTTGCAATTAACCCTACTCTAGTAATCCATCTACAAGAAGGCACAGGCTAGTCGCCCTTCCAGAAACTTCCAGATCTAATATAAGATTATAATATTGGGATCTAGACTATTTGAAGGTGGCACAAATAATAGCAGAGAACAAAACACAACCCAAATATCCCTAAATTCCAGTAGAGAGATTATAGTTAAACCTCCCTTGATATACTTCAAAACCAACTTGTATTATTTTCTGTGCTTGTTCTTATGTTCACTGCAGGTGAGTGACAACTAGTTTATGGGCCAGCTTCTGTTCTCAGTGAATCACAGGAATTCTGCTGGTGTCTGCAATGGGAGCAGGAGCAGCCTTCATGAAGCAGTCATATAAAAGAATAAGGGGGGAGGGGGAAAGTAAACTTCTTTACCAGTGTTTTGAGGTTAAGGTTAGAAGATTACTATAGCTGTTACGGTAAAATGATTCATTCTATAGCTTTTTCTTTAAAGTGTAGGTGCAGCAGTGGCTTATTATGCACATCCTAATCTCTGTCTGTGTACATACTCTTGCTACGTATTCTGATTTTGGCAGGAAGCAAATCCTGGAGTCTATTTTGCTTTTCATTTGGTGCAGACAACTTTTTTGGACTCCATGTGACAGATCAGCTATTTATCCCCTGCTGCTCTCAAAAATTTTTATAATAACAGCCTTAAAAATCAGATTTCTTTGGCAAATTTCTCCAGGATAAAGTCACCCATAAAATGGAATAAAAATGCCTTTAGGCTTATGAATTCTCTTTCTCTCAAGCATCAAAATGCTGTTATTTTGAGAAATGTTCTTTGTTTCTCTGAAATCTGAACTTTTTCCACTTGGAGACAGTTAACTCCCTGAGAATCTCACAGAAATGGTATTAGATGTTGATCTCTTCGTAGGAGAGCAGGGGGAAGCAGACAACCAGACCACATCGATCCGGGCTGCAGGATGTGTTTAGTGAAAAATCTATAGAGCTCAGCTTAGGGTGTCAGCTGTCAGTCTGCAGAGCATCTGTCAGAGGAGTATTTGCTTCACTGCTGCTGAATGTGAGTAATGCTTTCACAATATGGCAGTACCATGCTATAGATTACAGTTGTAATGGAGCACATCCTGAACAGCTGAGCCTGCTCTCTCTTGCTCATTCAATAGCAAGAGTTGCCTTGCTATAAGAGCTTGGGGGATTATGTACTCCAAACAGCTGTCTATAGCACCATGGATTTATTTGGGCTAAATGAGAACTTGCTTTCCTTAGCTAAATCAAACTTTATCAGACAGTTTTACTGTTGGCAGTTAAAATAAAATGTGTTTGCTGAACAGTAAACACCTTGTTACTGTTAGGAAGGATTATATAAACAAAAGGCATACACAATGAAGTCTTATGCCAACTGACTTACTGTCAAAATAATATACTGCTGTTAGCGGAATTGTGCTCACTTGAAGGAAATTATAGGTCTAAAAACACATCTTGAATGACAAAGAAACCATTTTTCCACAAA